TTAGCGAACTTATTTCGCACGCGCAAATGTTTGTGGATTTTCGCTGCCATATTTCCCTCGTAGGTTTTAAAGGTAAAACTATCGGTCTAAGTTTTATAAATGTGAGATATGACTTCCCCGTAGATAGAGGGTGTAAGTTGAGGTAGACCTATCTGAAAGACGTGAGAAGACGGCGTTAAGAGGCAGTGAACATATTGGAGAAAGGATGATAGAAACTTGTTTAATAGCAGTTATTGACCTTCTATACCAGGCAATCTGCTTCAATATGACGACAGTTGCAAGAAGAATTGATTATAAACAGATGCACATACCAGCATCCGACCCCCTATTCCATAGAAATGCAAGAATAACTCATTAGCACTCTGAGTAGTGCTTTGCACGAATGCATTTTTGTAAAAAGGTAGACCGTGTCTGCGTCTCTTAAAAGCACGATTTAGCTAACGGAGCGAGAACGGTTATGGTGCTCAAACATCGTAACTTCGGAGACAATCATTAGTCAGTCTTATATGCTCGGACGAATTACGAACAGCTGCAGCGGATGGGGACGCAATTATAATTTACATTCGGCAGATAGCGCATCAATGTTATTATCCCTGTACAAAAATGAAACTAACACCACAACGACATATTTGTATTCCTCCTGTGGACGAGCTATTGTTCTCGCATCTAAATGACATTTTTCAGACAAGTTTAAATTTAAAAACTAAGTCCTCTTCTGTTATCAAATTTATTCCTTAACATAACTGCGTATTTCTTCGTTTTAGCAGCATTCGTTTTAAGGAAAAACAATTTTGTTGCAGTTACTGCACTTATCAAAGTCGCTTTCATCTGATTCGCCAGATAAGATAATGGTCTCTCTCGTTTTGACTTTAACGGAAACTACAAAGTGCAGATGAGATATGAGCTAAAGAATTATAGAAAGATGTGGGATGCGTTAACTTATTGCAGTAAATAATTTTCTTCCTTTGCGTCTGCAAACAACAGGCGAACGTGATTACCGACAAATATGTCAGCCTGGAATAGACATTTCTGGATTATTATCCGTCGCTAAGCAGTTATACACAACCTCGAAGTGTGGAACACCCGGGGCTCGACCCCATAACATGTTATTAAAAATCCCAAAGCCCCTAACCACTGCGCCACGGGCTCGTTGTCCTGTCGGTTACGATCGGGCGGCAGTCGTAATAATCTACTGAAATTTGATTTGTCGGAATCATGAAAGGTCTGCCGATTCCAGAAAACACTGCACAAAAACTGTTCATATCCGAAGTCAGTTATGCAGAATGAACACCTGCGTAAATTTTGCCATAAAAGAAGTGCACAAATTCATCCCATTTTTGGGAGGAAACTCTGATATTTTTCATATTTATAAATTATCCAAGTCGCTTGGTATGCAGGCTTACTGCATAATTGACGAATTGACCCACATTTTGTACCCTTAATCGCATTTACATGGACATTTGAGAGTACCAAACATTCCAGCGGCCGCAGATATCATGTTTTGAAGGGGGACATAGGCCGATGCATGCGCGCTGAGTGACAAAACCGCAGGCAAGAAATAAACTGTTGGTGAAAGAGTTATGGTTGACTGTAGTAACAACGTGGATAAAGTTAGTTGAGTGTTGCATTTTCCTGCCAAATGGAGACCGGTACAGTGTGAGTTTGACATGAATTGACCAGAATTTCTGACAAAATCATCATCGTAAGCGTTGAAGTACTGCCTCAAATGTCAATAAAGATGGTCATCGTGGCAAATAAGTTCAGACTTAGTAGGCATACGAATTTCGAGATGCAGTAATGACATCACCTCTAGATGAGCAAATAAGTGTGACATTGGATGATGGAGGACAGAGGCAGCACGACTTTATCGGCCAACCTAGTCGTAGCTTCTGCAGTACATGCACGAGTAATGGATAATGGATTAATTATTAGCGCACGCAGCCTGTAAAATGGACGGGCATTCGGATTTGGTAAATAAACTGTTAGAAAAATAGATTGATAATACTTTAGGGGTGTGGATAATTCGATTTAGTGGTAAGCTATACCTAGCAAATCACGACTGCTCCTAAGGGTCCTTAACTTGCAAATAACTTAACTTGTAAATAAAGTGCCAGAAAAATAGAACGATAATACTTCACAGATGTGGATAATTAGATTTAGAGACATTTGTGCATGAGTGGTTAGTCGTACCTAGCAAATCGCGACTGCTCCTAAGGGTCCTTAACTTGCAAACAACTCTCCTCCGTGGTTACCGAATCTGGGTCCCGCCAAGGAGTCACTCACCGATAACCACTTCTATCTGCTGATTTAAACCAGGTGATGCTTATTCTGCTTTCTGTGGCCCCATATCCAGCATTTATTTTCCCATCCCCTTTCCTCTTCTTTCCAACCCCTTTCCTCCCAGCTCCATTTCCTCCTCTACTCCCTACTTGGATTTCCCCCCACCCAACACCCACGTCCACTTAAAACATCCCGCGGTTAGCACAACATGAAATCCAATGGGCGACTCAAAATAACTCGGGTTACTTTCAACTAAACAAAGCCGTGACACAAAGTGGAGTTCGGTATCTGTCTGGGACGTCTCAGTAGCCATATATCAAAAATACCCACACGCTGGAAGACGGCTAGAAAATGCATCCTCTACAACTACCGGTCATCTGTACGAAGACCGTGGCTTGTTGAAACAGAACTCACGACCGAAAAACAAAACGTATATACGATAACCCTCGCTAAGGTCTGCCAAGTTGAAAAATGTACCCTAAATAACTATTGGCATCATGTCATCCGCTCTCTGATGGGGACTCGTAGATAAGAAGTGGCGATTGAAAAACAAAAGGAAACGGCGACGAGCCTCGTTCTCCCCCTCTCCAAGGTACCAGTCCCTCCTTCTGTCGACTGCGAACTTTATAGTTTTCATCTCAACACCAAGTTCATGACATATAGTTATGTTTTCTGGATGACGATCCCGTATGGTCCAGAGAGCTGGACCGTCTACAGAAAACAAACGCGGAATTACAACCACTGTCATCTTATTTTTCTCCTGCGGATACTTAACCAGATGTGCAGGGCGAAACTCTGAACTGGTACGATATGGAGCGCCATAATATCCTTAAGAAACTCGCTTTAAAGACAACTATAGCTGCGATGGGGCGGCCACTTGGTGTGGGTGTACGATGAACGACAAACAAAACAGAACTTCTATGGAGGGATGGCCGGATGTGCACGTTGACAAGGAGGTAAAAGCTTCCGCTGCAAGGATACTCAATGCGATTGCAATTCAATACGACATCTTGGGAAGACAGAGGTAAAAACTGACCGGAGTAAAGAAGGCGAGTGTATACTGGAGCGGAAACATACAAAGCCAACGGGAGCGTAGCTGTCAAAGCCAAAATGTGAGTAAATGAATTTAAGGCGTCCAAGACCCTCAACAACGTAAGGGGGAGGCAGTTGGAGCGGCCGGCTGGTGGTCTGAGAGTCAGGCTGCAATGACTCCTTCTTAATGTTGCCTTTATTGCACTCCCACTGCGTGGGATCCGAGCAGGATGTGGGCTGCACGCCCAGGTGCGGTTGCTTCGGCCGTCCCAGACCCAATCCTCTTTGTTGGTCGAAAGCGTGGTTAGTGGTTGTGTGAACCAGGGGAAATTACGGCCACTTTCATCTGAGATGTCTCCTGCGGATACTCAACCAGAGGTGCAGTGCGAAATTCTAGACCTGTAAGATTTGGAACGCAATAAAATTCTCATCAATCACGCCATGTAAAGGCAACTACAACTACGATGGGGCGGCCACTTGGTTTGGGTGTAAGATGAACGACAAACAAAACAGATGTGCACGCTATAAAGGTGGTAAAAGCTCCCGCTGCAAGGGTATTCAATGTTATTGTAATTCAAAAAGAATTCTTGAGAAGATTGAAGTAAGAACTGACCGGGCTAAAGAAACAGAGTGAATGCTGAAGCAGCAACACATAAAACCAACGGGAGTGAAGCTATCTTAGTCAAAATTTAAGTTGCTGAATCTCAGGCGTCCAAGATAATTAACGACGTACGGGGGGAGGCATGTCGTGTGTGTGCGTGTGTGTATGGGTGTGTGTATGTGTGTGGGGTGTAGGGGTGTCAGCGGTGGGTCCACGTGATGGTCGTAGTGGTCGCTCATTTGCTTGCAGTGAGACTACGCCTGGCGTCCATTTGCTGGCACCAAACTCTCACCTGTGGCTCCATGTAGCTGGGTTCTGCTCAGCGGCCACACTCCGGGCAACCGCCTCGACCGGCGGGCTAAACGACGTGAGGGCTGTTACCCCCTGTGCGCATCGTGCCAGGTGCACAGGGTACTGCGGACTCCGCTGGACGGTTGGTCGGATGGAACACCGTATCGGCGGCGTCGTGAAGAGGCTTCGTCTACGCCGTTGGTCAGCTGGTTGTTGGAACGTCGCATCGGCATTGTCGAGACGAGGCTCCGCCTGGTACCCAGTTGGGCATACGGTGGAATGGATCTTCGAATCGGCATCGCTGACTCGCGCCCATCTGGTGCACCGTAGGGGATTACAGACTTACGGCAATGTCGTAAGCCATTGGCAAACACGAGTCGTTCTTCCACTGCCAAAGCAAGTCGTGGCCCACAGTGGAGTTCGGCCGCGCCGGCACATAGAGCGGCCCTATTTAGGGAAGGGCACTGCTTCTCTTCGGAGGGGGCCTGGAAAAGCTGGCCTAACAATTGCTGGGAAACCACGTCTTCTGCAGGCGCACCGTGGTCGCAGACGCAAATCTCACGGTCGAAACAATCGAAATAGAAACAACAACAACAACCATACTCATTCTCCTCATTCTACCGCTTCTTCCTCTATCTATTCTTCTGCCTACTATTCCCCTTCGTCATTTTCCTCTCCACCTCCTTCCCGTCGCCCCACTCGTTGTCACCAGACTGGCAGGATGAGTCCGCTCACGCTGGCAGGCTGGAATGTTCGTTCCCTTTTAGGCAATCCGAGTAGCAACCGGCCGGAACGGATGACCGCGCTAGTAGCTCGAGAACTGACGCACTACAAGGTGGACCTGGTCGCACTCAGTGAGACTCGATTCTCCGAACAAGGCCAATTAGAGGAGGTGGGAGCCGGCTACACCTCCTTCTGGAGTGGTCGCCCCAGGTCCGAGAGACGAGATGCGGGTGTCGCCTTCGCCATCCGGAACGACATCGTGGGACGACTGCCCAGCCTGCCGCAGGGAATTAACGATCGCCTGATGAGCCTTCGTCGACCTCTTCGGGGTGGGTGCAAATTCGCCACCATCATCAGCGCCTACGATCCGCCGATGACCAGCCCCGAGGCCGCCGCAAAAGACAAATTCTACGAGGACCTGCACGCCCTCTTGGCGCCTGTGTCGAAGGCGGACAAGTTGATTGTCCTCGGTGACTTCAATGCCCGCGTCGGCACAGAACATGCTGCCTGAATAGGAGTGCTGGCCCCCACGGTCTGCGCGGCCCCAAAGACAATGGTGTGCTGCTCCTCCTCACCTGCGCAGAACACCGCCTCATTCTGACGAACACGTTCTTCTGTCTGCCGGAGCGAGAGAAGGCCACCTGGAGGCATCCTCGGTCGCGTCAGTGGCACCTGCTGGACTATGTCCACGTCCGAAGGCGTGACCAGCGGGATGTGCTGGTGACAAAGGCGATCGCGGACGCTGACGGGTGGACCGAGCATTGCCTCGTAATCTCAAAGATGCGTATTTGCCTACAGCCCTGCAGGAGACCATAAGGTAAGCGACCCCCAGGTAAGCTGAATGTTGCCTTGTTGTCTTTGCCCGCTCACCATCTTCATTTCAACAATGAGCTCGCTCAATGGCTTGGCAACCTTCCAATCTCTGCTGCCGCCGCCCCCCGCGGACAGGTCGCTAGTTCTACCTGAAGAGGTCCTAGGAGGATGATGCGAAAATCATTGTGAGAATAATATCTAATAAAATCTAAACATACATGCATCGTGAGTGCTCTCGCGATCACGGATCTGCTAGCAATTTAATTTTATACCACTGTCCCTTCCTTGAAGTATATACCGAGACCTTGGCTCTAACATCAGACATGACAACTGATGCTGGATTAGATGGACTTCGAATGATAAGGGCCTCGTGCTTTAGTCGTCATTGTCCCCTTAAACCCATCGGATCTGCATACTTTGAATTGACCTTCCTTTTCCTCCGCTTCTCCCCTATTTTCTCTTAATGCTAAGGCTCTTACACGGAATCACAATCTGCCGGAAAACCAAGTCTCAACCACCGGTGCCCGCATCTGTTAAATGACTACCTCGGACTGTCAGTTGATACACAGGATAAGGGGAGTGAGTGATGTTGGCTTTCAGCGCATATTTCCTCTTAACAAATAGTCACACGTACATCGAACTATCACGATGCGCTAGAAACTGTGACTCGAAAGGTTACCAACTAGTGTTTCCCCTTCGACCAAGCAGTCAGCCCAGTCGCGTCTTTGCTTGCTGAATGTCTAACTGGTGAACTGACAGTCTGACTGCGATGGTACTGCCTCATGCATATGAGATCACGGGCGCTTCTCCCATGCATTTATAATCCTGGCGAGCACGTTTTGGTGGGGCGTGGGGGTGGATGGGGGCTTCCAGTTAATGCATGCAGTTAACGCAGACGGGTTCGCTAATACAGTCAGCCACTGCGCTCACTTCCCGCATCAGACAGCTGACCGGCTCAGACAGTGGACTGGTGCCGCAGAGTGGGAGGAGAGATGGCGTCAGCGGTTTCTGACGCATATTCATCACGACGTGCTCGAAGCTCTAATAGTGCGCTGAATGCCATGACTTGATAGGTTGCAAACTGACAGCATGTCTCGGAACTCGAAGTCAGTCCAATGATTGTTGTGTGGAGTGGCCGACCCTTGGATTGAAAATCGGGTTGCAGTGTTTCGTTCGTAATGTGGCATCTAGGGCGCTCTTAATCAGTCAGATCCCATCCGTTTCTCTTCTTTTTTGGTGAAAAATCGGGATCAATGGATCAAAGGTATTGTGATACGCACCACACCATCAAACCTCTTCTAACAAGAAGGCTTTTTATGCATCACATTAGGACCACGATTTCACCATCCAGATTTTCCACACTTAGACGATTTTGTGAGATTTTCTTTCCTCACATGCTGAGCATCTTCTTGGATGCCGACGTCTCATTTTGTAATTATAAGCTTGGTCTCTGAATGATACCTCGGTAGAAAAATGAAAAAAGTTTTCTATTATTCTAATTTCGCCTTAAAATTTAGGCATAAAGTTGAATAGCATTACAATGCCCAGTGGCATGCTTGGAGCTATTTCATTTCTTCCAAGTTGACTAGCGCCTTCTCACTCCAATGCACCCCACCGTACTTTTCATTGTTCGCCTTCTTGTACTCAGGTCTTACTTGCTAAACACCCTTCCTTATGGACACATTTGACGGTAATTATGGACTTGGCCTCTGAACGATACCTCCGTCGTTATGGGAGGGGATCTGTTGTTTCCATCCAAAGGACATCTTAGCGTCGTCCTCCCTGGTATTGATTTGACGACATTTAATGTCTTTGTCTGCCACAAGGATTTTGATGACTTCATTACCCAACTGTTCAGGAAAGCGACAAATCAAATACAAGGACTGTGCATTAGTTGAGGGAAGAGGAGAGAGTACGGTAGATGCAACAGAAGACTCCTATCACTAAACAACTAATAAATATGCACGTCGCCGTCCCTGTGGAGCACAGGTCTAGCATCGTCGGCCAGGACGATGGAACAACTGCTTATACTTTCAGGCATGATTTGCAACTGATGTGCCAGGTAAATTAACCGATAATGGGTTGGCATTCGTGGCCATGTTGAAACATGACGCACGTTGCTCGCTTATTACTAAGGCTATAACATGGATTCACAAACTGCCGGAAAGCCAAGTCTCAACCAGATCTGCTTCCTTTCCACAAGCGGAGTCGCGTCAGCCTATGTGCATCAGTTAAGAGTAATGACAACGGCTTTGGTGTGAAGTGGGGTGGGGTGGCGACTGAGTGGGGCTTCACATGTGCACACTGGAGTCACGCTTGCGTACCGTGAGTAGAGAAGGCATCGACCCTGCGAACGGAAGATGGCGCACCTCAAGGTCGGTCTTCGCTGCGTTTTCGCAGCGAAATTGGCTTTAACGGAGTGAGTGGAGACGAATGGAGCTCTGGATTAAGCCAGCAGTTCGCTTAAGCAGGTTCAACAGCAGGCGATTGAGTAACGCAACAGTTGAGAACTGCAAGTAAGTCCCCAACAGACTGGATGGAAGTCTGATCTTGGGGAGGAAAAACGTAAGTGAGGTTAGCGCTAAAATATAAGTGCAAATTGTGTCAGATATTGCAATTTGTAGTACAGACTAGAGTTCCGTTTTGCAAATTTTAAATAACTGGAAGGAAGCTGCCCAAGGCTGTGGTAACCTCATTGGCTGCCTGTAGGTGAGATTTGATGGAGCCTTAAATAAAACCAAAATGTTCCTGTTGCCTCTTGTAAGCAGGCAGGATATGCGAGAACCAAACCCGCATGAACATAGAGATAGACGTTTGCAAAATGTCCATATGATTTTAAGGTTTAAGCTATCAGCAATTTAGGTTCCCTCAGCAGCCAAATGATTCAAGGTGTGAACGTACATGTCCAAAATAACTACGCAGTGTTAAACAAATTTTACCAGGTCGCTGCTTAACGTGAATCTTTGTTATTTTATGCATAACACAACGAAATAGATTAAGGGTTAGTGTTATACACAAAGTTGTTGAAATAATAATCGTCAGTTACTCCTTTTGATATATTCGGTCCACTTTCTGATTAAGTCGGTTGCAACCAGGCGTTGCAATTCAACACGAAGTAAATCGCTGTTCGGTTACGCTAGCCCGAAATTTTTTGCATATCTGACCGCCTTTAACTTGTATCAGCGGTACTGAGCGCTTCAACAATCAACAGTGCGCAGGTGCCCAGCCTAAAGGTCATAAATTTTCCATATTTGTCCAGGGCAGTCCGCCATCTACCGCCGGTTGGACACAACGTGTCACTAAATTCCTAGGTATAATTATACCCCACCCCGGCATCCAAACTTTAATCTCAACCGCAATCCTACTCGTGACCCCGCTAAACATAATCTTAACACTAGATGACCCTAACGCAAACCGTAACTGCAAATCCAACTCTTACTCAATTGGCATTTAACGCAGATGAAATGCATACATTCATGGATTTAAAAGTTGATGCTAATAGCGGTTTTTTAGTTTAATTTTCTCCAGACCTCACCGAAAATGGCAAATGAGAAAGATGCAGAAGACACATGCGAGCAGGCCAAATCTTGTTTTGTATGCGGGAAACACGGGTTACGGTCACAGCATGGTATAAACGGTTTTGTAAAGGGAACCAGTTGAAATATTAACCTTCAGTTATTTACTTTGACGTTGTCCGTTGACTTTCTAATGATTTTGTTCCCCTCCAGACTCGACAGTCTGCTGCATGATTGGGAGGAGGAAAATAAGAATGGGAGGAGGAGGAGGAGAAGGAGGAGGAAGGGAGTAGGAGAGGAGAAGAGTACGCCGAAAACCCTGAGTTAAATAACACAATGTTAGAAAACATAAATTTGTTTTCACATCTGGCCGCCTATCGCCTAACTTATTACGTCTTCCTTATCGTCGGCCAACTACACGCAATTAAACCTACTGAAATTTTTATAAGTGCATGTAAAAAATGTTCGTTGTGATTTATTCGAGCATTTCTTACGCAACCACCTGTCTTTCACGTAGGTTGCCCATCTGAGCGTGTTTTCATTAGAGCGGCGACTGATGGATTTCCGGCAGTTTTATTATAGAAGGCTTGCCGCAATTTAGAATTGACTTTTTGTCCAATGCCAACCATGGAAGTCAGTCTGCTAACGCACACGTTATTTAAAAAGAACTAGACGTTGTATCGATTTTTAGAGGTCAGAGTAGTCAATATGTGCAATTTAGCGCCTTTAAGTACAGCAATTACGTACACAGTCACCCCTTCGTTAAAATAGCCCAAAATGTTTTGCCATTTCGAAAATCACATGTGTCTTTCAGTAATGAAACCCTAAAGTTCCTCCGGTCTACTCTGTTTATGTACGTAATTTAATAATGGAACAACCAAGACATTAGCAGTTTCATCGAAAAATCAGTATTTATAGGGCCACTTTATCTTATATTCATAATCGTAAAAGACAGCCTTATGATTAGTAAAGGTAACCTAAATAGACATAATATGAAGAGAAAGGCAAGTTCTTCTGTTTGCGGTAGCAAGGCAACTTGAGGAAAGGACAAAAAATCTCGAATTCGTATCTTGCTTCAAAACACTAAAATAAAAAGTACACGAACATCTACAACGAGGTACAGTATTTAAGCACTCCACAAAAGGATAATTTACTTGAGAAGTTTTTCTAATTATTTGAAAGC